CTCCCAAAAACTTTTGTTTGCCGTACCCCATTTCCTTCATGTAGCGCTGGCGGTGGTTCAATGCTTCTTGCGGGCAAAGGCGTCGAGTTCCTTCAGTGTCATCGTGCGTCTACGCCGGCGCAACCAACTAACCGTCGCCGCAAGAGCCACCTCATCGCACACGCCGCCGATTCCCCCACCGTGGTTACTGCCGCTGCCGTGGTGGTTGAGGTGACAGCTGTGGCCGCCGCCGTGGCGCCGCATCCAGGCAGCGAAGCGGGCGGGATAGTCGTCGTCCAGGAGCTCCATTTCGGCTGGTACCCGCGTCAGTGGTGTCGCCACGGCCTCACCAACGCGATCACGGGGGAGCAACGTGGAGTGGAGCTCCTCCGGCTCCTCCTCGTCTTCTCTATTGTTGGTGTCACCCTCGGCATCCTCCTCTTCGCCCCACTCCTCCGCATCCTCCGGTTGTCGGCGTTTCACACCAGCGACAGCCGGAGGCGGTGCCGCTCGACGGCCCCAGCGCTGCGCCACGAGGGGAGCAAAGAGAGTGCTACCCGCCAACACATGCAACACGGCCAGCGGCGGTGGGACGCTCGAGAACCATCGAGAGTACTGCAGCAGAAGATCGCGGTGCGCCGCCGCTAACGCCTTCACGCGAAGGATGCGGAGGAGTTCGTACTGCACGCCAATACGCCGGCAGAGCGACTCGCGCAACGCCAGCGTCATCATCTCCATCAGGGACTCCGCAACGCTGGGCCGTGGCTCGGGGCCCTCGACCGCTGCCGCTGACGCGACTGTTGCAGTGGGCCCTGACGTGGTGTCGGTGCCGCCACTTGGTGAGCCGGGGGTCACGCGCCGCTTTTCCGTCAGCATACGGTGCGCCTCGGAGGGGCACACAAGCGACAGGCGATGCGGCTCTCCGACTGGCACAATTCCAATGAGAAACATCTCATCAAGGAGGGAATCACACGATGGCAGCACGTCTACAGCTGCCGCGTCTACAGTGGCGCTGGCTGGGCCCGGCCGAAAGGTAAGCTGTTCAAGCACCACAGCCAGCTCGTAGGTGATCGTCACCAGCCGCGCAAAACACAGTACCCACTCGTCGTTATCGTTTCGCAAGCGTCTCTCCTGTTGTATGCGGCAGAACCGGCGCAGCTGCTCTCGCACAGCCCCAGTCAATGTCGACGGTGGCGTGCGCAACTGCACCATCCCCTGCTGCACGGCCCTTACACACCCCACACCATCGCCGTCGGCGCCATCGCCGACAGTGGCATTCATGTAACGTGCATCACAGTCTATTAAAACCGGCGGCAGGTGGTGGTGGCGCTCCCGCACCACACGCTGCTCCGCCCACAGCCCCTCCGTGTCAGCTGTGTACCCCACACCACCCGTCGACCACTCCACCAACGCACCTGGCAACGCCACGGGGAACGAGTATGGGCAGGAAGCAGGCGACGTGGACCTGCGCAGGGCATTGTGGTGTAACTCTGCGGCGAGAGCAGCAGCGTGCTGCAACGAGGTCACCCTGGCTGTGGCACGTGCGTTGCCCACAGGGGGTGGCCACAGCGTACAGGGCACTACCTGTGACACAAGCCCCATCTGGGCATGTGTGCGCGGTAGCAGTGGGACGAGGTTGCACATCACCGTCTCATCCAAGACGTGAATAGGCACCCTGGATACCATCGACGATTGAGAAATCATTCCACTGCGATTGCCGCCGTTGCCGGCCCTGTTGGCGCTGCGCGCCTCCCCTCTTCGCAGCCATGCCACTTTCGCCGTGGAGGAAAACGCCGATGACGCCAAACCCCGCGTGCTAACACTGTCATTCCCGCAGCATCCCTGCGCATGCGCTGGTTGCCCCTCCTCCTGCTTCACAACCACCTCCGCCTCCCCATCCTCCTCCTTGTTTTCCCGCCGTGGATAGCACACAGGCTGCAGGTGTTCCGCCGAGACGCATGCCACACCCGTCAGCCAAAAGGCTGTGGACGCAGCGGAGGGCAACGAGCGTGCGTCGTCGGGAGAGTTCAGTCTGGGGTATTCGCTACAGTGGCGGTTCGTCATCCCACCCATCATCGCCACCCCCTCCTTTCCTGACTCTCTTCTCCTCGCTTCATGGTTTGTATGGACGTATGTGTGTGTGTGTGTGTGTGTGTGTGTGTGTGTGGTGCAGCAAAGGACATAGCAAACGTAAAAGCAGGAAATACATGAGGCAGACTGCAATACAGCAATCGGGAAAACGTAGAGATGGAGAGGCAGGCCGGTTGAATGCGCCACGTATATTATATATATATATACTCAGTCAGTCACACACCTCCCCTCCGCTTCTGCTCATTCCTCTCGCTTGTGCGGCACGCAGGTGACCGTGACGGACCAAAACGCAACGCCACCGCCATGACGTACCCATCCACCTCTTCACCAAATTTATAAATACACGCCGGGAGGGAGAAGAGAAACATACGGCGATATGGTTTGCTTCCTCCCCCCACCCCTTCTTCCTCCGCATAGGAACAGCAACTATAACTAATAAATAAATGTAAACTTTCCACCACCCCAAATGTTTTACACCTCCGTAACCCCCGAAGTCGTCGCCACATGTGACGCCCTCGGCATCCCCATTGTTCTCGTTCTTGTGTTATTATTATTATGCATCTTCCTCCCCAGTCTTCATTTGTAACCCTTCTGCCTTCCTCGGCCCCACCCCAGCCCACCTTTCCCCCACAGTTACCCATCCCACAACACTCTACGCCCCACATGCACTGCGGCATCTGTCGTCACCTTTTGCCGCCCGGCTTCGCATCAGACAGGGAAGCGGCCTATGCTGGAGGCGACCCGGCACCACTACTACCGCTACTGCTACTACTTCCACTACTACTGTCGTACCCCGGCGAAGATGGCTTGCCAGGACTTCCCCTTCTTGCCTCTGCGCCATACCTATGTCCATAGCGAGTCATGGACTCCTTAAACGACTGCTCCCAGGCGGACTTGAGCTTCTTCTTCTTATCATCCTCCTTCGCGTCCTGCTTCTCATACTGCTTGTATGGAGACTCCTTCGGTGTCTCTTCATAGTGGCTCGCCGGATGCACAGGCGGCCTCCCTTCATTGTCCTCAAACGTGACGCCGTGATTGAATGTGATCTGGCACGGAAGGGGTTCCCCCTTGGGGCGATTTGAGGTCCACAAGTGTCGCCACTCCGTGCGTGCACCGTCTCGCGGCTCCACAAATTCACCCGCCTGCACCAAGTCGTAGCCGGGATCCTCGCTGGGACCTGTCTCCTTCCCGTGTTTAATCTGCTCCCTGAACCGCGCCTTGGCCCGCTCCAGCGCTCCCTTAAAGTCCTGCAGTTGAATCTTTCCAGGGTAGGACCACAGCTCTTGCACCACCTCTGTCCGCTTCACCATCTCCCACTTCTTGTCCTCCTCCTCCTCACTGCAGCGCAGCAGGTGGCTCTGCTTGAAGCCGTAGCCCTCCCCCCGACCATGGTGATCCTGCCTGTTAAGGTAGAGGTGGGAGAAGGGGTAGCGCGGGTAGGCCTCCCACATCCCCGTCGGTCCCATGAAGTCGTAGCGGTGGTACTTGTAGCGGAAGGTGCGATTGTCGTGCTCGTCCACGGTTTCGTCCCACTTAAGAATTTGCTGCGGCGGGCGTGGAAACATCTCCGTCGGGTCGTCCAGATTCTTCGGCTGCCAGTCCTTAATGCGAGACATCTCATCTGCCTCCATGTACTAGTGACCCACAATATCGGAAGCCGTGTTTGCCACGTGTCAGCGGAACGGCGAGGTGTGCTTCGTGTTGTATAGCAGCGGGTCACAGTAGGAGCCGGGCACCATGCCGTACGCAGAGAGCGGGGCAAAGCAGACCTTCTCCAGCAGCTGCTGATGCAAGTAGCCCTCACTGCCGGGGCTCGTCCACTCCTCGTCCCAGGTGTACATCATCCACGCGCGGTGGCATATCTGCCGCCACAGCCGCAGCAGCCGGCCCGGTTTAACGTTTTTAAACGTCGTCGGTGGTGCGTCAGCGTCGTCCTCCTCGGCAGCCAATACACGAAGCAGCGGCGAGGCGCGCAACAGCTATGGACGGCACACCCTCATCATATTGTCCCCCACGCGTCGCCACTCCCTCCCCTGTCTCTCCCTGTCTCTGCTTTTCTCCCGCTCTACCAGCCTCCAGAAGGTTGGCCACTAGCAACTTCCGAAAGAATGCGTTTGCTCCTCTTCGCACAGTCACAGCCCCTATAGCTTTAGTTTCAGCCCCAGAGGGGCACGTTGTGGCGTCCAGCCCAGCGAGGCGTGCCTACGCACGCATACAAGCAGAAAGAGAACAGGGAAGGTGCAAGTGTACGGTTCCCCCAAAGCACACAAACAAAAAAAGAAAAAAAAAGAAAACAATGTGAACGGCCGCCACTCCCGGCACACCCCATGCCATGCCATGTCACTGCAACACAAGTCGCATTCTCCACACGCATCACACGCCGCCCGGTGCAACCACCAAACAAGAACTTAAAAAAAAAAAAAACTACGCCAACAAAGAAAGTTGTGCAGTATCCAGAAGAGCCAACGTCAAACACCCAAGCCGGTGTGACCCCATCAAACGCACGCATGCAAATATGTATTGCCCTCTCCATGGCGCATACACACACAGACGCACAGACGCAAACTAATGGGTGAAACAACGGACACGCATAGTCCTCTTTGTTTTTATTTTTCGTTTCATATTTCCTCATATCTCATATTTTCTCCTTGCCAGCGTTCAACTAGCCGCCCCGCACAACTGTGCTGCTGTGCTGGATACTTCCTCCACAAGGTACTCTGCCACAACACCAAAGACAACCGGAAGCGGAACCTCAGCAGCCGTGGCGAGAGGTGCCGATGTCGCCTTGTCGTCACCGCCACGACTACCTCCTTTTGGCACACTACCAGCCCTAGTTGCAGGAGGAGGACCCAGCTGTAAGATGGCGTGCAACGCGGCGGAGTTTGCCACGCGTCGAAGCTTATCCCGCAGCCACTCTCCCATTTTTTCTACACTGAAGCGGTAGTAATGGTCACCCCCAACCGACTTCACATCGCAGATACGTGAGAGCACCGTGTGAGACTGCATCTCCTCCACCGCAGGGGTCAGCGCAGGGCACTGCGCCAGTGCAACTCTCCAGCCAGGCCATGCCGCTGCACCACCGCCGCGAGACTTGGTCGCGCCCATAATAAGGTCCTCCGCTGAAACAAACATCTCCTTCCTGACGTGAGTAGCAGCCTGACGGAGAACGAAAAAGGTGACGTCAAACGGCGTCACAACAAGAAGCTCCTCGTTAGGCTCCACAGTGTCGTTCACAAACCATGTCTGGCCAAACCCCCCAGGGGGTAGCTGCGCCTGCACCTCATAAAGCACCGCCCGCACCGTGCCATTGTGCACATCCCTCGAGGCACTCTCTGTGTTGGGTGGACAGAGAAAAAGTGCAGGTTCACCGTGGCGCGGGTGCGGCAGACGCACAAAGTTGCAGCCCGGACGAAGTGACACTCCACATGGAGGCGGTGGCGCATCACGCAGCGCAGGTAAGTCATTTACCGCAGGCCTGGGTGAACTGCTAGTCACCCAATGCGCATCATCCGCAGCGGCGTCGGGTGACGGCTGTCCGTGTTCACCCTCCGTGCGTGTACGCTCCGCCTGCGGTGTGCTGCCGCTATTAATATTGCCGTCGTTGCTATTATCATTAATGGCATTGATGGTAGGGGCCGTGGCATCCTTCAGAAGAGTGCGCGGCAGCACCATCATGTGGCTCGAAAGCGCATTGCGTGGAAGCGCGATGGTACGATCGGATGCGTCGTAGTGAGCATTACCCGCCGCCCAGGCCGCAACATTGCTGGGATCGAGTAACACACTCTGGCTTCCCTCCTCATCTAGCTCTAGTCGCCGCCGCGGGGAGTTCCCATCGGAGGAGCAGCAGGACGAAAGATGACTACCGCACTGCAGAACAGTCGCTTCGCCGTCGTGTGTGAGCCTCCCATCGTTGGCGTTGCTGCTCCCGGCGCCTGAAGAGCTCGTCGACCGACACCGCTTGGTGGCCCGCATCGCCCAGTGTGAGAGAGAGCAGTGGCAGCGGCAGCACCCAAACAGGAAAACAAAACAAAAAAAAAAGGTTACCTCGGCGCGCCACACCCCGGATCTCTCCGTCACGTGGATGAGGTGGGAGAAGATGCTGCCGTCTCCTCCCTAGCTGCCCCTAAAATAAATGGCTTTGCCCCGTCTTCCCTGTTGCCGCCCCTTCTTACCCTTTCAATGTGTGCGTTTGTAGCTGGAAAGTGCAACGGCCCACGGCAGAGATGGGAAGGGAGCGGGAGAGAACGAGTAAAAGAGAGAAAGAGAACTGTGATGGGCAGCCAAAAAGAGAAAGGGAAAAGGGCCACACGGCATCCCCATCATTCACCCACCACCCAGCAGCGCAAGGTGTGCCGCGGTGTGGTGGGAGGGCAGAGAAGTGAATGCGGTGGGTTGTTTGACCTCCATCGGGGCAACAAGGAGACAGTGGGAGGGACGGGAAAGATGTGGGTGCGGCGCCCACTAGAGCCGAGCCCATGAAAGTGGAAAACAACAACGTAAGTGCAGGTGTGCCTCCACCACCTCGTCGCGGGAACACGCTTCAACACCGCCAGCATGCAGGCATGCTGCCAAGCCACGCAGAGTTCCCACTCCGCCCCAAAACTCTTTCTTTTCCCCCTGTACTTTGCCTTCTTTTTCCTGTCACGACTCCACACCCGTGCGCGTCTTGTCTTGTTTCGTTTCTTCGTGTGGCACTTTTTATTTTTCCCCCATTCGTTCTTTTTGCCTGCTGTCATCGAAGTGGTGACGTCACACGACCTCCTTCGCTGGCTGCGGGGAAGACGTCAAATTGTCACCGTCAAGCACTTCAGCTCCTGCAAGACTGAGAAAGAGAGGGCGGGGGGTTAGCAGGGGATGCGGAAGGACCATCACCACCCCTCTTCACCCCCCTTTGGAGGAGCGTTAGGCGGCCAAAACCACAAACGCATACGCATAGTCACAAAAAAGCAGCAACCAAAAACAAATGAACAACAACAAGAAAAAAGCATTGGTGAAGGTGCGTGCAATAAATAGATAAACAAAAACTACTCCGTACAAGGAGGAAAGCAAAATCCTTCACCCGTCCACTCAGCTTCGTTCCTCACACAAAGAACTGCATACATATTAATTTCGCCCACACATCCGTTGATAGATGAATTGGGCGGTACAAGAGGCGGAAGGAACCCCCACGCATGGACTCCTTCCGCTGACGCATGCGGTGGGGGTGGGTATGGTGTGTTCCCCCTTTTCACTCCAGCACGTCACACCCCCTTGACATTTTGTGTTTTTTTGTTGTTTTTTTTGTTTTTGTTTTTTATTTTTTGACAAGAAGTGATTGGCCTCATGTACATGCAACGACGACGACGACGGGGGCGGCGGCGGCGGCGGCGGCGGCGTTTATTGGGCCCGTTTCACACACGCACACAGACGCACAGAGGGGGGAGGGAGGGGGGGCGTACGCCCGCCCCCACAAGGCTTACACCGTCTGCTTGCTGCAAAGTACATCCTTCACAAGCTTCATGTTTGCAAGGAACGACCACCAGGGGTGGTTGAACGATGTTGGGGTGATGCCCTCCACCGCGACGTCACTGGCCCAGGCAACGCCGTAGCCAAGAATGGGGGCGCCAACGGCGCACGCCACCGAGCCACGCTTCACCAGCGACAGCAACAGCAGCACGGCGGCAAGCATGGTCCCAGCGACGTGGCCCCGGCGCGTCCATTGATGCATGTGCTTCGAGAGGTAGTAAATGTAGAACTCATTGAAGTTGGAGAATTTGATGTCGAGCCTCAAAGACAGACCAACCATCTTCTCTTTTTGTTTGTTTGATGTTCCCTTTTTTTCTCCTTCTATCACTCTCTGCGGATGCCTGTTGTGAGTGCTATATTGAGTTGTATCACAAGTGGTGTGTGCTGCTGGTCACGTGTGTGAAAAGAGGCGTCCGTGACGTTTGCAGGCAGGCAGGCAAAGAGGCGAAAAGATAACACATCAAGCAGAAACAACAAACATACACCCACGGAAATAAAGAAAGAAGTAAAAAAAAAAAAAAAGTGTCCCCACACACCCACATACATCCATAAATATATAAATATATATATATACGCTATACTTACATACACACAGGCGGCCCTCGCTGCAGGCAGTGAGACAAAACGAGAAGAGGCAGAGAGAAACCGCCTGGTTACATGTCTTCCTCCTCCTCGTGTTTGGTGGAGCAGCAAAAGGGAAGCGGTGCTCTTGTGAACACCGCAAGGGACGCGCAAACCGAAACTTCTCTCCATTACACATGAAATTGGCTGTAAGCAGTCAAGCGAGGGCGGCAGCCAACCGCACGCACAGACACACGCACGCACGCAACAACAAAGAAAAAAGAAAAAAAAAGAAACAAAACAATCCAGCTGCCGCGCTCGTGGTTCCAATCTCACTGGTTTTTATTTCCCTTTTTGCCCTTCTTTGCCGCTTTATCCCTTTCTAGAAGTTGATTTACGGCTGCCTGCGCTTCGGCAATGGCGCCGCGATACTCCTTCCGCTGCATCGCCCACCGCTGACGGTCCTCGTTCACTTCCTGCAGCTGCTGCCGCTTCGCCGCCTCACGCTGGGGGCCGTTGTTCATCATGTCCTCAAGCTGCAGCTTGAGCTTGCGGTGTTCCTCATCAACCTTCTCCCGCATCTCTGCCTCCGCCTCAAGCCGCTCCTTTGCATGTTCCATGTCAACCTCAATCTGTTTCTGTGCCGCCGCCAACTCCTGGTCAAGGCGCTTCTTCTCATTGAGGCAGCGTGCCTCCTGCAGAATGCAGTTTTCAAGTGTATCCTGCAGACTCTGCTCCTTCTTCTCGATATCTGCCCGCTCCTGCTTGAACTGCGCCTCGAGCGCCTCCAGGGCCCGTCCGAGCTCCAGCTTCTTCCGCTGCAGATTCTCTAGCTCTGCGCGGGCCTCGTCTAGCTTGTACATCTGGTAGTGAAGGCGGATGACGTTCTTCTCGAGGCCATCCTTCTCCACATTTCGGTGGGCCTCCCTGTTGCGGGAGGTAATCCTATCAATGCGCAGCACCGCCTGGTGGCCGATGCTGTTCCCGTGCATTCTGCAGCGCAGCAGGTAGCGGTTGCTCTCCAGCAGCGCGGCGAAGGCCCCTGCGGCATCCTCCGAGAAGTGGTTATTGTCAATGTTAAGTCGCTGCAGAGTCCTGTTTTCCACAAGCGCGACACCAAGCGCCACGAGGGCGCGCTCGCCCATCCACGTATTGGACAAATTAAGTGAGATTAACGTCTGATTCGTCTCCAGCATGCTTGCAAAGGCGCATGTGCCCTCGTCTCGTATGACATTGCCCTCCAGAGAGACGTCTTGGAGAAAGATGTGCCGGCAAAGGGCACGGGCCAGCATGACGGCGCCCTCTGACGTGATAGCGTTGCGGTCCAGGTGAAGTGACTGCAACGCGCCGTTCGTGCACAACGCACGGCACAGTGGCACAAGTGCTGCGTCATCCACACCGCAACTGTCTAAGTGCAAACACACCAACAAACGGTCACTGGAAAGCGCAGAAAAGAGTCGCGGTGGAGGCATACTGCAATTTGGCTGCATCAGCGGGTTATTGCTTAATAAAATGGTGTGCAGCCTGGATGGCTGCTGCTCCTTCACACGACGCCACACGAGTTCCCCAAATGCGTCACCCACAGGCCCGGTGAGTTCGTTGCCGGAAAGATCCACAAACGAGAGACTCGTACTTTCCATCGCGGCGTGAATGATACGGAGGGCGGCGTCGGTGGTGAGCCGCACCTCACGCAACTTCAGCGTCGTCAACGTCGTCGATGTACGGATTAACTCCGACAGCACATCAATGGGACGTCTAAAGGAGCCGCCGCTGCCAATGTCGGGGCTCTCAACCGCCCTGCTTCCAGTACCGCTGGCACCAGCTGCAGAGGAGGTGCCGCCGCCAACCCTTTTACTGTTGCCTGTCGTTTGCGTGGGTGATGCCACCTGACTTCGGCGCGCCGTGGAGGATGGCCAAGTAGAATTCCGTGATGGCGGGGTGACTGTAAACTCTGCCGCGCCCGTTACACCGCGGGGCCTGCTGCAGCTCTCTGGGTCGCCAATTGTGCTGCCGCTGAGGTCAAGGTGACGCAGCGTGCGACTCCGCAGACACCCCTCCAAAAGACTCGTGGCACTTGCGGCGTCGATGCGATTGGCGTAGGCGTCGTGTACGGAGGAGCCAAGGATGAGAGTCTGCAGCTTCTTGTGCGTGGCGACGACGTAGCTGAGGGCCTGGATGCCCTGCGGCCCAATGTCATTGGCGCCGAGGTCAAGATAGAGAAGGTTGGGAATGTCACGAAGGAGATGCGCCACCATCTCGCAACCGCTGTCGCGCAGGGTGTTGCTGTGCAGGTCCAGTCGCGCCAGGGGGGAGCGATGCAGCAGCGAGGCGAGGCTTGCGATGACATTGGCGCCCAGACGCTCCTTGCGCAGCACGATCTGACGCTCCCTAAAACCGTGCTCCATCAACTCACGAAAGAGCTTGCGGGAGTCATTGCTGTTCTTCTCCCCTGTATCCTTGAGCCAGGCGAGGTAGAGGTCACCGAAGACCTGCTCCTCCGAGACCCCAACGGAGGCAAACATTGGGGCGCACACAACTATCTAAGCGCACGTGTGTGTGAGTGTCCTCCCGCCTGGGCGTGGCGTGAAAGCTGCGGTGGCAGAAGAAGGGAAATGACGAGCTCCTGAAGCTACCACTGCGTGCAGCGCACCCCACACCCCGACAGCACAAGGGAGAAGGAGAAAAAATCAACTAAACTGCGGTGTGACAAGAAGGGAGAAGAGACACACAACGAAAAAAAAAAAAAAAAAACAAGATGCATGGAGCAAGTGGAGAGAGAGAAGGGAAGAGGCAGACGAAAACAGCAAAGTAAAAAATTGGTACAGGTACAAAATAGGCACGGGTCTCTCTATACGTCCCCCTTCTCCTCCTCAGGTATCAACATCGGCGTCGCCGTCTATCTGTTAACCTCATCGGCTTTCAGACGTTCCCGATCCTGCAGCGAGATCCCAAGCCGGCGCCGCACGTACCGCTCATTTGCTACACCCGTCATCACAATCGTCTGTGACCGGGACGGGCCAAACTGCATGTGCAGATCCGACCGTTGCGAAGAGGGCATGGCGTGCTCCAAGTTCCGCACCTGATCCCGATCGGCCACGCTAACGTCGATAATAGGCGGCAGCGCAATCTCCGTCTCGGGGAGGTCGAGGTACGACCACTGGTCAAGACGGAGGTGCAGCAGCAGAAAGTCGTTGGTGGGGAAGGTGCCAGGCTCAAGGACTTGTTTTTATTCCCCCCACATGACGATGTAGGTGGAGTGGCTGTACACCGTGCCAAAGCCGGAGCGGCGCATCGCCAGCCAAAACATCGCGATGCATGTGAAGCCGCTCCAGAGCGCCAGCATCACAAACTTTCCGCAATGCTTCACATAAACCTGCATTTCCCCCCTCCCCTCCCCTCCCCTCCCCTCCCCTCCCCTCCCCTCTCACACCTCACATCCCCAAACAAGGCCGCCACACTGCCGTCGCCCACGCACCCAGACGCAAACACTACAAAGGAGGCAGAACGGCAATAACAGTAGTATTTTTTTTTCCAAAAAAGGGGGAAGGGCAAAGAATAAAACCGCACAAAAAAAAAATGCCTCGCACCACCACAAGAAGGAAAAAATACGCAAAGGAATGAAAAAAGAGCTACTTTGTTTATTTGTTTGTTGTTGTTGTTGTCACCCCCCCCCCCCCCCGCTCTGATGTCATCTTCAGAATTAACGGCGCTGAAGAGCCGCAGTCGGAGAGCCAGGGGTAAAAGGAGGCCGCGCAGGAGAGTGGTGGCGGCGCCTTTCCGCCTCCCCGACTCCTTTGACAAGAGGAAAAAAACAACAACAAAACAAAAATACACTTGGGAGGAGTGCAGCCCTGCGACTACACCGTCACCGTCCATAAATCCCGCAACGTCACGCCCGTGCGGAGCCGCTCCACGGCAAGACCAATCGAGGGATCGTACTCAGGGCGGCGATCCGCCCCCTTCTGCCCCATATCCGCGTAGTAGGCCGCGAAGGCGTCGTTTTGTACTTGATGTACTACATTTTCACCGTCGAGCTTGCGAGGCTGGGGCAGCACGGGCTTCGCCAGCCCCCCGTCCAACGCACCCGTGCCACTGCCCACATTGTTCAGGCCGCCGTCCTCCGCTGCGCCGGGGTTGGGCTCCTGCAGTGTGACAGCGATACCAAGCACGGGGCGCATGTTCCAGGCCTTCCAGAGCGACACGCATTCCTGAAACAGCTCCCGCAGCCGCTCCACAGGATCCACGCGAAAGCCAAGAAGGCAGCCTCCGGCGTGCGTTGACGTCTCCAGCAGGAGAACAGCGCCGTACTTCGTCGGCCGCAGACGCAGCAAGGTCAGCTGCAGCAACGGAATCGAGATGTTGATGTTCTGAGAGTGCTGGGCAAACCAGACGAAGCGCACATTCGTCGTGACGAAAACCCCGACGACGCCTCTGTCTTCACTCACGTTCGTCACCCCCTCGAGTCGCGTGAAGAGTCGCTCGCCGGGCAGAACGACAATGTCGCCGCCCCGTACAAGCGAGCTGCGCATGCGCAACTCCCGGTACGAACGACTCGAGTCGTATGCCCGCCAGACGACTGGCACAATAAAAAACTGATGCGGCGTCTGCCCCATAAACGTGAAGACAAACTCGTATCGATTCACTCTAAAGCGCGTGTTGATGTACAATGCCTCTGTGGTGGCGCGCGGACGCGTGATCACCTCCTTCACCTCCACGTTCTGGATACCGTAGTAGCCGATGCTGAGGCTCTTGCGCGGGTTCAGCTTGCTCTGCCAGATGCATCGCAGGTTTGTTACGGTGAGCACCCCCTCCTCCCCGCAGTTTCCCCTCGTGTCCTCCACAGGGCGCAGCACGGTGAGGAGCGTCTCCCCGCGCGCCGTCTGCACCGCGAGCTCGTCGTCCGCGATGTTAAAGCGAAACTCGCGGTCAAACCAAAACGTGAAGGCTTTGGCGACGACTGCCTGGATCTCGGTGTTGGAGGAAGACATGTGGAGAGTTTATGCGGCTAGAGTGCGTGGTTTGCCCCCCGTCCGCCCGTGCTTCTGCCCAGAGAGCAATCCCCTTACTGCCGCGTGCCACCGCAGGCGGTACGCGCAAAGACGATGGAATGAAGACCAAGGCCCCTCTACACAACAGTGCGGCGCAACCGCAGCAAGAGAGAGAGAGAGAGAAAGAAAAAAAAAAGGAATAAAACTAGAAAATAAAAGTAAAAAAAAAAAAGAAGGGAGACAAAGACAAGGAGTGTTGAAGACGGCGACAGATATTTATTAATTTACACGCACACATCCACGCGTCCCACTGACGGCGAAGGAGGAGGAGGAGGGGGGGA